ACTGGGTGGGTACTAGGGTAGGGGTCCTGAAAAGGGTCATGGAGTAGGAATTCCGGGGTCCTGAGCCCTGATCTCACACCAGCTCCAGACAGGGAACAGCCTGTAAGGGAGCAGCTGAGGGGCTTGGTGACAAGGGCTTGGGGTGTCTGCCCCATGGCAGCATGACGGCATTGTGGAGACCCTCGGAGGTGCCCAATGGACCCCATCACACAGTGAGTAAAATCATTAGGTAGGGATTTTTTTTTTTTTTTTTTTTTTGAGACAGGTCATCCACGCTGGTCCGGCCTAAGATGCAGTGGGCAATCATACGCCATACAGCCTCGACCTCCTACCGTGTTCCTAGCCTCAAGCAATTCCCTGCCTTGGCCTCCACCAAAAGTTCGGGAAGTACAGCAATAACCCCACTGTGCCCGCCCAAGTAGAGATTTAAAAGTGCGACTGGCAGCCTTTTAAAGTAGATCAAAAGGCCCGCCACGGTGGCTTCATCCTGTAAAGTACCCAGCCACTTTGGAGGCCGAACGGGCGGATCATTGAGTCAGCTGCCGATGCGAGACCATCCTGGCTAACACGTGAATAGCCCCGTCTCACAAAAAAATACCAAAAAAACTAACCCCGGCGACGTGGGGGGCGGCCGAGGCCTGAGCAGGAGAATGGGGTAAACCCAGGAGGTGGGAGCTTATATGAGCTGAATCCGCCACCTGCAACTCCAGCTGTGGCGCCAGAGAGAGAACTCTCCTCAAAAAAAAAAAAAGTGAGCCAAATGAGCCGGAGCGCGTGGCTCACGCCGGTAATCACACCGTGGGATTAGGCAGGGCCGGACACTGACGTCAGGAGTGCAAACCAGCCCTACCCAACATGGCGAAAACCACTCACTTAAAGTACAAAAAATTAGCTAGGCAAAATTGTGGGTGCCACTGTAATCCCGCTACTTGGAGGAGAGGCCAGGAAAGAATGGCGTAATCCCAGAAGGCAGAGGTGCAAGTGAAGCTGAACTGCAACCACTGCACACAGGCCTGGGCAAACAAAGAGCGACGACCCATCCAAAAAAAAACAAAAAAGTAACCATGGCCGGCGTGCTCAAGCCTGTAATCCAGCACTTGGAGGCCCCGAGACGGCGGATCACGGTCAGGAATCGACTTAACACGTGAAACCGTTCTACTAAAATACAAAAACTAACCGGCGACGGTGCCCGCGCGCCTGTATCCCCCTACTTGAGCTGAAGGCAAGGCAAGAATGGCGTACCCCGGGAGGGTGGAGCTTGCCAGTGGAGCGAGATCCGCCACTCCACTCCAGCCCGCGCGACAGAACAAGACTTCGTCTCAAAAAAAAAAAAAACAAACCAAAAACAGCCCGGGGCGATTGTGGGCGGACGCCTGTAGTCCCACCTACTCGGAAGGCCCTGAGGCAGGAGAATGGGGTGAACCCGGGAGGGGCGAGCTGCCAAGTGAGCTGAGATCCGGCCACCTGCCACCTCAGCCTCGGCGACACGCGAGCTGTCTCAAAAAAAAAAAAAAAAAAAAGTAAATCAAATAAAGGGAGAACTGAGCCAGGCATGTGACTCACCACCTATATCCTACCCTACCTGCCGAGTTCCTGAGGCAGAAGGAAACCTTTGAGCCCAGGATTGAAGGCACAGTGAGCAGTGATCATGCCGGCACTGCAACTCCCAGCCCTGGGTTTGACAGAGTGAGACCTACCTGGCAAAAAAAAAAAAAAAAAAGACAAGTGTGCCTGAGACCAGATGATTCCTATTAGAAAACCACATTGGCCGGGGGCACGGCCACGCCCCTTGTAATGCCACCACTGTGGAGGCCAAGGTGGGAGGAGTGCGTGAAGCTCAGGAGTTGAGGCCATCCTGACAACAGTAAAACCTCCCATTCGCTACAAAAAATACTCCCCAGCCTACCTGGGGAAGCCCTGAGAACAGGAAGGAAGGCTTGAGCTCCAGGGAGTTCGAGAATGCAGTGAGCTGTGAATCACACCACCACAACCTCCAGCCTGATGACCACGAGCAAGACCTTGTCCTCCAACAACAACCAAGTAGCCAACAAAGGCAGAACATTATGCCGCAAGAAAGCAAAATCACGATCTGAAATGACAGATGGGGACCTGGTTAGCCCCTCCATACCCAAAGGCCCCCCTAAATTTGCCAAAGAAAAGGAAAGAGATGGAGAATGCTCCCACCTTCACTGAAACAATTCCAAGCCAAAGGAAGTCGTCCGACCTAATAGGCAATACTCCAAATCTGCCATCAAAAGAGGAATAGGCCAGGCACAGTGGCCTTAACGCCACTGTAACCGCCGCACTGTTGGGGAGGCCGAAAGAGGTAAAGACATCCCTGAGGCGTCAGGAGTTCTCGACACTGGCTGGACCAACATGGTGAAACCCTGTCCTAACAAAATACAAAAAATTAACAGGCAATGGTGGCACGTGCTGGTAACCCAGCTACTCAGAGGCCTGAGCAGAGAATCCCTTTGAACCGGAAGCAGAGGGCCAGTGAGCCGAGATCAAACAACCCATTGCACTCCAGCCCTGGGGTAAAAGAATGAGACCCGGCTAAAAAACACAAAACAAGCCTGGGCCGGTGGGGTCCCACCGCCGTAGTCCCAGGCCACTTGGGAGGTCCGAGGCAAGGCCGATCACCTGAGGTTGGAGTTAGCGAAGACCAGCGCCGATCAACATGAGAAACCCTGTCCTCTACTAAAAATACAAAAAATTAGCTGGGCGTGGTGCAACGTGCCCTGTAAACCCAGCACTAGGGAGGCCAAGGCCAGAGAAATGGCTTGAACCGGAAAGGCCGGAGGTTGTGGAAGCCGCAGGTTGCAGTGGAAGCCAAGAATCGCCCCATGCACAGCCATGGGGCAACAGAAGCGAAAACTCCGCCTCAAAAAAAAAAAAAAAAAAACCCTGGGAAATGAATGGAAAGGGTGCTCACAGTCAGCTGCCTCCATAATTTAACATAGTACTGAGGTGGTAGTTC